CAAACAAAACAACAAGTTTAAGAATTTTATAAAAAAATTTCATAAAAGGTCATATGCTCAGAATTTCCAAAAATTTTCTTTTCCTTAAAAGTATTTTCTACCTGCTTTAGATTTTCAGCCAGAGTTCAGAACTAAAACATTTTCCCAAATTTATCTTTTCCTTTTTGTCTTAAGTTTAATATAGCAAGAATTTAAAAATCATGAATTTCATGTATTTTAAATTTATCATTTAAAATAAAGAAACTGGATTTAAAGAAATATATAGCTGCTAGAAATTATTTAAGAACTTGTCTCATTAAAATAAGTAATATTCAGATGGAATCAGTAAACTACTCTAAATTAACACAAATAATACAGAATAATAAGAACCCTGAAACTTTTAAAATTCACTAACTTAAACCCTAAATCTTCTAAAAAACAATAGTAAAATTCTCATTCTACCAGTTTCCCCCTGCTATTAAAAGGAAACCCCAGAAAAAAACCCCTTTAGACCACCGAAGTAACTCGAACTAATTTTTAGTTGTTGCTATTTCAGTATTCAACAATGGCAACTTGGAAGAGAAAAAGAAGGACTAGCTAAAATCCAAATTTCTTAAAACTACTATTGCAGAATAGTAAATCCAGCAAACATGTCCAAAACCTCCAATTTCAAGGCCTTAACTTCCAGTGTGGGAAGCCTTGTCATAGTCGCACAAGCCACAGATATCAAAAGATACTGCAAAAGAAAGTAAAGGGGGTAAAGTGAAGCCTTTTGCCACTTGTTTTCAATGCAGTCCTTATAAACACTTGGCTCAGCAATGCCCCAAGCTAGTCTTGGTAGCAAAAGAGCGATCAGACTGATGGGCCCCCCCCAGCCTCCTCAAAAGTGTTATGAGTAATCAAGACAGCATCCCCATAAGCCTGGAAAAGCTTTGAGTATGCATGCACATTGCTGGGTGAAAAGAATTTACTTTCTTCTGAACGCTAGTACAAGTCATTTTGTCTTAAGATTTTTAGTAACCTTCTTTCCCTCTGCCAACTTACTATTGCAGCCTTTGACACATAGGACTCTGTTTTGGTTTTTTTCTTTTTTGGGTTTTTTTTTTATATTTTTTTATTATTTTTGTGTGAGTGTACCGTCAAATCAGATCTGACTGGTACAGGAGGAAATTGTCCCTCCTTCCCCGGCAGAGCATCTGGTGGATTCGAACCTTGCGCCTCTGGGATTGTAGTTGCAGGTCCTTGCCACTAGGCCACCAGAGCTCCCCTAGGACTCTGTTTTTAGCTTCATGAACAGCCAAATTTGTTTTGGATACGTCAAGTAAATATTTTGTCCAAGTAGATTTCAAAATAGAAAACCTTGATAGGAAACTCCAGGTTCTTCTCATCTTTATAACCTCTTATTCTCAGCTGTTATTCCTGTGTGCAGGGCCTAATCATGCATTCCTTTTAAACAGTTCTTTCCTTTATCTGTTCCAATGCAATGTTGTTGTTAGGTGGCCAAGTCGTAGGCGACTCATAGCGACCCTATGAAGAAAAAGCCTGAACGCTGTTCATACATAGAGTCTCCGGAAGCAAGCCATTTCGGAAGTGGATGCCACTCCTGCTTCCAGGCTTGTTTTAATCAGGAAGCTCCAGCAAACACTGTCCACCATGGGTAACCATTACCACGTTTGGCACATCAGTGTCCCAGTGTTCAGCATCACAGCAACCACGATTTACCTCTGTAGAGCAATGCATAGACCAGTGCTACGCTACCTAGAAAATGTTTGACAGGAAAACAATTTGAACCTGGCCTGAGGGCTGCAGATTAAAAATCAACCAGGGAGAACATGGCGGTCTTCTCTTCTCTCTCCCTTTGGGGATTAAAGCCCCCTTCCTGCCTTAAACCCTAGGCCAGCCTGGCTTGCCTCAATCCTGGAGGCAGAGTAGTCCTTCACGTCAAACACAAGCCCGAAAAAGCACTCGGCTCCAAAAGCCTGCCACAACACTTGTGCACGCAGCACCATGCCCTCTCTGGCAACTAGAGGTCACAGCAACCCGTTCCAATGCAGTAGTCATTGTCTATTCACTCTTGTCCTGTTCTCCTCCAAATCCCTATGTCAGAGCTGCTTTATTATAGTAATATTATGTAGAATTTGTTCTTGTGTAACTAGAATATTTCACTTAGCATGATAGCCTCCAAGTCCCCCATGTTATATAATGTTTTATGTAAAATTCCATTATATATATACCATCTTACCAGCCCAAAAGCTAAATAATAAAAATTAATCCAAAACTTAAAACACTTCAATGAAAGTATAACTCTTCTACATTCAGTACAACCCAGTCCCTACACTTTAATAACCCAAGCACCTCCAAAGTCTAAATATTTCTCAGTATTAAATGATATATTCTTCACTCTATCTCTCCACTCTATCACTCTTTATTTACCTTTAAGAAAAATAACCCAGAAACACTGAAAATCAGTTAATATAATTAGCTAAATTTTTCTAACAAAACCCAGTCTAATAAAAAATTATTCTAATACTCTGTTATGGCAACTGCCTCTTAGTTCAAGAATAAGTTTTACATAAGCATAATCAAATGTTCTGGGACTTCCGTTCTTTTCAGAATCAGCCACAGCTTGTTGCAATCCACACAGTCCAAAGCTTTTACGTAGTCAAAAAAGCACAGATAGACATTTCTCTGGTACTCTCTGCTAAGCTTCTCTAGTCTTTCTTTCACCCTTTGCATTACTAACTGGATCTCAGAACATAATCCTAGAAACGTGCCAGGTACTGTAGATCAGTTGCTCTCTTATACCACTGATATTTGGCTACAGGAGCCCGTCCAAGACTTTACCCCTGACCAAAGATCCTTCTATACTTTCTGCATATTCTTCCTTCTCTAAGTAAACATAAGATCTTCACTCCTCATCATCCTTTCCATAATGATCATTGAAAGTTTTTTCAGTGATCAACTTTCAGTGATCATTAATATTATCACTAATAGCCCTGCCTCACTGCTTTTCCAAGTGAACCCATAGCTGTCCTCCAGCTAGGTATACACCCAACTATCCACTACAGATTAGATTATCACCCCTGGCCCAATTAAAAACTAGACCTCAACCAGATCTGTCCTATTTCACTTTTCATAAAAAACAGGGCTTATTTCTTTACTAGAAGCCCTCTTAATCAAATGCTCCGGATATGGCCTTCAAAACATTACATATTGTCTATCCTAAAAAGACATCAAATCCTTTCTCCCACTCCCAATCATCAAGCCTATTGTCCTAGGACACATACCTATGTCACAACCACCCCTCCCCACCCCCACCTATGTCTCTTTAGACAATCTTTCCGTCCTTGAAAAGTTCTCCTATGCCAAGTTATTATCCCAACCCCATCTTCCTTTCTAACCAATTCATTCATATTCCTATTCCACAACTACCAAAAATCAACACCATTAAAGAACTTGCATCACCCCAACCTACCCCGATATGCTAATCTTTTTACCCAGAATAACATCATCACACTTACCCCAAACTCATTCTGCCTTCTGCTTAAGAAAAAGACCAGATTTCTCTTTCATTACATAATATAAACTCCCTTCAACATCAAGAGTAGCACTACCTGCTGTTACATATTGTCCTATTAGTCTCTTTCTACATCACCCAACAAAAAGACTGACCTTAGAGTAACCAATACCTTCCACAAAAGATATACCTCTTCAACCCCTAACTCTAGCATATTTAGCTACATCTTTCAGGTCCTATGAATGGGAAGTTAAAGCAGACCAGGTCCAGCTTCTCTTTGGAGTCGATTTTTGGGGATGTCTGAAAGCAGGAAGCGTTATCTTCTTTGCCTGTGGAAACAGCGTCTACTCCTGCCTGCCAACCAATTGAACGGGAACAGGCACTCTAGTCTATCTGCTTCCCCCTGTTTCATTCACAACCAACTCTGAATTAATACCTTTCCCCTAACCCAAAACCTTAGACACAAATGGGCAACTGTGGGACTCCTCCCTTTAGTGTCTGGTCTAGGAATAATAACAGGAGTGGCCACAGACACTGCAGGCCTCCAAAACCCACTAGACAATATTGCAACTCAGCATATTGTAGTGTAAGACCAGGAATTCCTCCTTGGCTACCCCTTTCTAGTAATTTTCTTAATAACTCTTGCTCAATGTTTCTTAAATCTCTTTCAGAAATTTTTAATAGACCGTCTCACTGCCATCTCCCTAGCAACTGCCCAAGAACATGTGAAATCGATGCTCCTCCTTCAGACATTACAGGAAACCAACACCAGCCTTCAACATTGCCCCAATTCAGCAGGAAGCAGCCAGAGGTAAATTTGCCCCTATCCATTATATTCCTTTAAGGTCTGGAATGAAGGAAGAATATGGCAGAGCCCCCACTACCCCCAAGCTTGATCACTTCCTGAGAAACTTGATAACACCTAAACTGGTCATATCAAAGACCAGACCCAATGGATCCTGATAAGAGTCTGAGCTTGATTTAAA